GTTAGTTAGTTAGTAAGTTAGTTAGTTTGATAGTGAGTGAGTTAGTTAGTTTGATTGTTAGTTAGTTTGATTGATAGTGAGTTAGTTTGATTGTTAGTAAGTTTGATAGTTAGTTAGTTAGTTAGTTTGTATAAATGACACTGACAACAGGTTGAGATCAGCAGGATTATCTTCTACGTGGTTGTTTTCATACTAATGTAAATCAGCTCAAGTTCAAACTGAGACTTAAATAAATACATTTATTTCACATTGAAAGTGTTGAAGCTCAGAGAAACAGAACACGTGTAACTGACTGAATTCACGTGGACTGTAATTCTTCTGCTCCGAGCGTCGAGTTATTACAGCCCTGTTGTATTGGACGTTAGTTTTAGTAAGGTTGTTGTACACGCTGCTCACAGAGTGAATGTTTTATATCAATCCAGCTGTTTTCACAGTTTCATGTTCAGGGTGAGTTTTTGTTTCAATATCCAAAATTAAATCCATTCAACGCATTTCTCAAGTGGTGTTAAAGACATTTGGTGATTTTTATCTCGGAGGAACATAAATCTGATTTGAGAGGAGAGATTGTTTCAACCACATGAGAAAATACGTCATTCACAACATTTAAAGTATGAGAAGAAGCATTAAGAGAATTTCTCAGGTCGGATGTGAGGTCAAACATCTGTGCCTGTTAATATTCATCTTGGCTTCTACAGATGGAATAAAGGAAGCTGTGTCAGAGGAATGAGGTGTGAACACGTCACCTGACCAGCGGAGAAACAACTGAGGACATTCTACTGATGCTAAACACGTTTCAGCGAATAGACAAAGACATAAGTTCATATGTTTTCGTCCACTGACGTCAAGTCACAAAGCGTTTATGTTTCCATGGATGAGTAACAGATTTTAAAATGGAGAAGCTGTGGGGAAGCAGATGTTTGTAGAAATGACCAACTCACTGGATTAGATAAAGATATGTATTGATAGATAATTAGACCCTTTATTATTTACATGGAAGGTGATGATATGAAGTTGTGTTATATTTTATTTATTTGTGCTTTTAGTTGGTGATTCAGTTACGGTTTAAGCCTCAGGGCTGTTTTAAAAAACTTTCTCTCAGCACAAGGAAATGATTCAATATGATGTTAAACAGTAAAAAAAATATTTTTCAAAGGAGAGCCTTATAATGAAAAGTTCACAAGTTCAAGTTCTGTATATTATATTGTGTTTTCTTTTATTTATAGTTTTTTTGATAATCAAGTTCATTGTTAAACTGTAAAACTATCAAACCTCAAATACATAGTTTCTTTAATATGTTTCTCAGCATTACAGATTGATATTGAAAGTTTTTTACTCCCTAATGTTGGTTTCATTATAGCCCCCCCAAAAAAAAAATCCATATTGGTAAAACTCAATAAGACGGTGAGGTTCTTATTTCAAACATAAATAAAATAAAAAACGAAAATTCCAATTTATATATATATATATATATATATATATATATATATATATATATATATATACACACACAAGTAAGAACAAGTGAACGATAAGCAAATGTTCAAAATAAATAAATTGTGTCCCAAAATGGAGAAAAGGACATTTCTCCATTTAAATTGTCACGTTGAGAATAAACGGAGGTGTTGAAGATCAACATCTTTCCTCTAAATGTCGTGTATTTTAGATATTTCTGCCTTTTTTTTTTCAGAGCAACACGAACATGTTGCAATTTCGAAGAAACTCTTGTTTGTGAAAGAACAACAGCAGCAGCGCCGTGATGCAATGCCTCCGCTCGTCTGTCTGCATCCTGCTGATCTTCTGATGCTACTCAATGTAAAATGCATCGGCTGGACCGGTGGAGCTTGTCAATCTTCTCCGCAGCCGTCTCATTTTTTTTTTTCCAATTCTTTGGTGTTTGTGCGGCTCTCTGTCCTCCCACATGACAAACTGTAACTGCTCATTATCTCTGTGAAAAGAAAATGCTCAGTCTCAGAGCAGCGGAAGAGAAGGACGATACTGTTTATGTATGTTTATGTCGAGTGATGACAACCATTTGATTTGTGTATTTTATTTACCTTCACAAGGGAGGTGTTGTTTTCTCCCCCGTCCATTCGTTTGTTTAGGATTACGCAAAATCTGGTGGAAGGTTGTTAGAATGAAGCACTTTTTAATAATAAGGTGATCAAGGAAAGTTTGTAAAAACAGTTTGTTGTATTTGAACCTTTGTAATTTTAGGATGTCGTTTCAGGCTCTTTTTTTTTTGGTATATATGTTGGTTCCCTAATTAGAATGAAAATGATGATATAGTGATGGTGCTTTGTGAAGGAAATAATGGTTATTATGACTAAAGAGTCCTGTATCGCTCTCCTCTGTGACTCAGGCAGGTGAGGAGCGCTGTGTCTCTGTCCCGGGACGCCTCAGGGCGGCCGCCGATGGAGGCGCTGCCCGGTGAGGAGGCTCTGGCCCTGCAGGAGGCCAGCAGCGGTGTGGTGCGTCTGAGAGCCGGGGACCCTTTCTCTGAGGAAATGAGCGCTCTGTGGCTGGCTGTCCAGAGTCTGGGCTTCACGCTGGTTTGCGAGCCCCATGAGAACCTGCTGCTGGCTGAGGGAACCCTCCGCAACCTGACCCGACACTGCCTGGAGCACCTGCACATGCTGGGGCAGGGGAGCGAGGTGAGGACGTTGTCAAACTGCTTCCATGTTTTAAGAGATGGCACCATCAAATAATATTTCACCTTTTTAAAATCCGTCCTTCACTCAATCTTGACAAAATCATACTTTGTTTGAAAGCTCCGAGTCTCCTGATTCTGTCTGCGCAAAGAGAAAAGTCAGAAAAACTAAGCAAAGCAACATTTTTACCATGTGTGAGCCTCTTTTCGGTTCATTTGAAAAGATCCGTCTCTGGGACAGCTGCTGAACAGAGGCTGTAATAGAGGTTAAACCTGTGGAGTAGAGTAGTACCTGGAGATTGGTTTGTGCGTTTTTGTCAAGTTGAAATAATTAAAGTTTTAAAACTGAATTTTGATGTAGAACCCCTCCCCATCTAAACCTCTGCCAACAGTCCCCGTAGATTCAATCCAGATATCAGTCAAAGTAATATGCCTGATCTTTTCTACACAGATGGGAAATCAGTGAAAATGTGAAAGAACAATTTGACGTTTCCGTCTGTCTTCTACGTGTGCGACTCTTCTTTTTCATCTTGAGATATTTCTATTCTTTTTGACTTGTTTCAGTTTTGCGACAGTGAATCCTCCGGAGAATCTCCTGCTGAGTTTTTACTTACAGGAGAAACTCCAGACACTTTTGTTGTTTGATGAAATTTATGTGTTTTTACAAAAATATTCTTGTCTTGTTTGTCTTTAATGGCAAAGAACACCCACAGTATTTGCAGCACGGCCTCTTCACAGGCCTCATTAGACTGAGATCAGTTCACTTAAACACTTCACCTCCACAGAAATATTGCTGCGGAGCTCTGCCAGGCTAATTCATTACATGTTATGGAATCCGCAATAAAAAGCTCAAGGCAACAGTAGTGAAACAAGATCGCAGCCGAACAGATTTTCATTACCATCCGTAACTAACAGCGATGATGACAGTCCGCATGGGGTCGTCACTAACGGCAACTCTCCCTCCAGGTCCTGCTGAGGAGCAACCGCATCGACGCTCTGCTCAGCCGCCTGCTTCCCCATGGCCAGCTCCTCTTCCTCAACCACCGCTTCGCCCAGAGTCTGGAGAAGGACGTCGCAGCCTACATGGCCAAGTGAACCCCCGGCCACACCGAGGCACCGTCCACCTGACTTCCAGTGCGACATCCATTACTGCGAGCTGCGTCTGCGAGCTCTCGAACAAACAAGTCCACTCTTGTTTACCTCGGGTGACATTTCTGCGGCGGCGGAAGAAGCACGGACAACTGGCAGCTGCTGTTTCAGATTACATGAGGTGGTAAACACACAGAGTGGTAAATATTTCCCCCTCAGCCACTCGCAGCTCACTCTTGACTGTTTACTGTGTGGGAGGCTTCAGTTCAAATCCTGTTTGTCAAATTGAGGAGTGGAAAGGAGAATGTGGCAGATTAGAGAGTGAGGCTGAAGAGGCCAGTTAATACCTACTCACCGGCATCAAAGGCCTCCATTTATCTAATTCACCGCACTTCAAATGTCCACGCGTGACCTTGAACAACCGAGACTTCACCTGTTCCTTTGGACAGTTCTCCAAATGTGTAAAAGAATCTGAAAGTGCTCTATCGTCGAGTCGTGACTTCCAACTGAGCTTCTGTTCCAGGAGAGTGGGAGGAAACCGGAGCAAAGAAAAATCAAAGTCAAACCGGTTTAACGTCATTTTTAAAAAAAAACCCAAATATGTCGGAATCCTTGAGACGCCGAGGACAAAGAAAAACGACGGGAGATGATGTGAAATATTTAAAAAACACAATGGATGAATGAGGACATGTTGGCACGAAGAACAAATAAGAAATCTATTCCCATATCTGAACATCTGTTGGACTTCTGACAGCGTTCCCCCCCCCTCTCCTCCTGCTCTCATTAAATTCTCTTAAACCCCCAGTTTCTGTGTTGGCAACCAAATCCAAAACTAAACATGTGGTATTCAAGGAGAACAAATCTGTCTGGATGCCAGCATCAGTTGCTTTGATTGTTTCCTTTTTTTCTGTATTGAAAAATTAAACTCAATTCTAGTATTACCCAAGGCGTACTCTGTGACACTCGAGTACACAGGACGTGTTTTCCCAAAACAAGGCTCAGGGGATTGAAGATTAAAGTGATGAATCACACACAAATGATTTAGAGGTTGTGTTGCTCCCATGGGGTAAAAAAAACAAAAAAAACACACACAACACACAAACTGAACATCAGCTGGATAAGTGAATCAGGTGAACAAGTTCTACTGTACACCAGCAGAGGGCGACACTGTTCCTGTTAGTTTCCTTCCAATTGCAGCAAAATGTGAATTAAAAACTCAAATCAACAACTAACACAATTAAACAGGAGAAAATAATTGATGAGTTATTCATTAGGTATAATTTTCTTTCTTGCCGTGGCCTTCAGACGTTACCTGGCAGCAGAAATAAACATTATAAAGGTTTAAACAAGAAAATCTTAACGAATCTTTCACCAGAAATAATTTAATTTTGATAATGAATTAGTCATAAGTGAGCCCAGAATGTGAGATAATGATTTTTGATGAAGGAAAATCTTAAATGTTGCAGCGTACAGTGATGTCATGTTCCTCCAGCTGTGTGACAGCAGTCTGCTGTCGATCCTTCTCTGTTTCCACCCGACATACGTACGTAGACCCTTTAAGAACCCTTTAAGAATCCTAATGACGTGAGTGATCTGCACAGAGCGCCGACCCACCCCCCACCACCCAGCACCCTGTGGATGAACTAGAACCGTGACCGAACTGGAACCGTGACCGTGAAGCCGGGACCTCATCACCCAACATCAGTGGCCGAGCTCATGAATAAACCAAAAGCCTGTGGGTCGGATCAGGGAGTCGACTCAGGTCCGCCTGACGTGCTCTCCTCTCTGCTGGATGGATCCAGTGCTCCCGCTTCATTGTGCTGGTGTAGTGAAGCTGTCAGCGCGCTGCTCACGCTGCTGCTTCATCACTCACCCGGAGGTTAAGCTCTTCACTTCCTGCAGCTTCTGCTCTGCTCTCCATACAGCGTTTAAAGAAAAGAACTCCCCCCACTCCAGCACCCACCTGTGGGATCTGAGTCCACTTCCACCTTCGAGGACGATTATTATCAACTTACTTATTATTCTTATAGCACTTGACACTGAGGATATATAGTCATAGATTCTGAATTTCCAATAAAGGAGAGAAGTAGATTTTAACTGGGTGAGCAAAATATTTTAGATTTCTTGTGTCTGAACATTAAAAGGCAGAATAATAGATTTGTTTTCTTCTTATTTTCTATTTTACTTTGTCACATCACCCACAAAGCCTCCTGATCCCTCCATTAACATGCACCCCCCCAACAAACGTCTGCATTTAACTAATCTCCATATATATTTATGATCCTCTCTAATAAATAATGTCTCCCCAGTCATGTTCGGCTTTGTATTTGTGTCGTTAGCTGTTGATTTATATTGCTGGTTTCCACCTCTGCCTTTGTTTATCATCAGGATTATCTACTGAACAAACTTACCACAAAACTTGACGATGGGACTCGTTCAATACGAATCCACACATTTTTCCCAGTCACAATGAGGACTGTGTCAAATGTGAATTTAAGGAGACGAGAGCTGTTTGTATGTGGATGCATAATCTTAATTTGCAAGTTGATAATCTTAAACAAACCTCAACAAACTGCAGCATCAGGACCAACAGGCCTGTGTTTTCCCCACTAGGGGGCAGTATGCAGTCAGACAGACAGACAGGGAGCTGCAGTGTCTGCTGCTGCTGCTGATAAGAGACAAATAGTGACACCAGAGCAGAAATCCACCTCGGTTACAAAATCTCCAATGCTGCTGCTCTGAGACAATTTAAACTGAGCTGGTAGACATCAAACACAGCGCTGACGCTGTTTTCATGTGTGTGTCTGTGAAAATAGTTTGTTATTACATCTAATTAGTGATGTACAGGCACAGGAAGTTGATCCATGCCTGCAAACAGCTGTTTGATAAAATGCACGAGTTGGTGTCAAGTGGAGATTAAAGTTACAGCGTCTGCTGCAGAATTTCCTGTACGTTCCTCCTCCATCTCCTCCGATGGCGTCTGATCCACAGCACAGTTTGGTTTTTATCATGAATAACGGCACATTGCTCACATGCACATGAGTGGATTAGAAAAAAGGGGAAATCAGACGGGTGAAAAATTGCTCAGTGTCATGAAATCACACGTCTGGAAAACAGCGATGCTAGAAAATGAGCATTTTTACCGTCTTCCCTTTGAACAGAGGCCACATGCGGGGTTAAAGTTAAGATGAATCAAGGTGACGACGAGGTTTTTCGACGACTGCCGCGAACCCGAGAACGGGCAAGTTTTTATTCCAACCAAAACGCTGCAGATGATTACTCCCTGATTAGCATGAGGCACAAGCTCGTCAGTGAAATCAGCTTCTTAAATGCGCAGCTAAAATGAAAACCTGAACACTCTCGGGCTTCAATAGCACTTACAGAGGGAATAAATTGAAGGCCATTAACTGGAGTACATAAAATTCTCATAGCGAAAAAAAAAAACAATCTTGTGGCATTCACCAAGTTTGCAAATTGGATTTTAGTAGAGGAGTGAAAGAAAAAACAAAACAAGCAGATGGAGAGAGGGGTGAGTTTCTCGAGGGGGGGAGGGGCAAAGGTCAAACTACACGAGGCTGCAGTATCAGTGGATCAAGAGCTGCTTCGTACATGACTGAACCTCTGACTCAATTCAGGGGCTGCAACATTCGGAGGCTGCATTTGAAGACCGCTGGCTTCACAGCGGTTTTCAAATGAGGGTGGATCTCAGCCTGTCCCATGATTCATTGTGCTTTGCTAATCAACCAATCAAAGAGGTAATGGTTACTGCGAAGGGGGAGGTCTTCGTGTAGTCGTATAGACCACGAGCTCGGAAAGGACGCAGCCCCTGGATTGAGAGTTGCACAGATTATCCAGATAAAGACGCGAGCGAGAAACCCTCAGGACCACCAGCGACCATCTTCTCCTTCAGGCTCCCTCCTCCCGTCCCCGCCTCTGTCCTCCGAGCTGCCCTCATATTCACTCATCGTCTGAGCGAGCTGACCAGACCGAAGCTGACGCTGTCACAGCCCATCTCACTCACTCACACAATCTTTTCTTCCTCCTGCGTTTTGTTCTCTCCCACCCACCGGCCTGAAGCTCCGACAGCACATTCTCCCATTGAAGTCAGACACTGGCCGGTGAAAATGCCGACTCTTGAGTGAGAGGGGTTTTTTTTTCACCCTCTTCATATTTTTTCTCCTGCCTCATTAGATGTCTCCCTGACTATTGTACGGCTCATGGCGAGAGCACGGTGGAGAAAATGGGCTCAGCTTCAGCCAGGGATACAATATGAATTTCAATATGAGTTGACAACTTATTCACTTTAGCCGCCGTCGGGGCATGCGGCGTGAAATACCTGAACGCCATGGCTCCCATTCATATACATTAGCCATCGTTTCCATTCCCTTTCATGCACACATCCCTCGAATTTCAAATATTCCTCTCACAGGCGAGGGCTAAGCGCAGCCTCTATTAAAGTGGAGCTTGAGGAATGCTCAGTGATAACAGCTAAACGCCACTCATATTAGGTGTCACAACAGATCTGTGTGATCTGTACATTTCTGGGTTTTCCTCAGCCTGTGTAGGAGGAAGATTATATGTTTGAAGCTCAGAATGTAGGAGTTGCCGCGCCAAGCTTGAAATAATGGCCGGGACGTAGTAATCATAATTTCTTTATGTTGTTTCTTTGCAATAATTCTGCAAATTACACCTTGAATCCACCTTTTCACCCTTTTCCTGCACAAACAAACACAAACACATTTATCTTGTTCTTTTACAATCGTGAGGACACTGACATAATGCAATAACCATGAAAACTGAATTCCTAACCCTAATCAATTCAACTTTATTGCAGACTCAAAGTCCACACACACATATATATATATATATCCAGTCCTGTGTCTCCAGGACTTCAGGGGACATTGAATTGACTTATTCTAAACTTCACCTCAACCTAAATCCTAAAATTTAATGATGTACATTATGGGGACTTTTTGTCCCCATAAGGAAGACAATTCCCATCATGTCACTGTGTGAACGGGTCCCCACAACAACAGTAATACCTGAACTACACAGACGTACCCTTACCCTTAACCATCAAAACTAAATACCAAACCCAAACCTAGTTCTAACCCTGAAAATCACTCTGTAGGTCGCAGGCTAATAAAGGTTCTCACAAAGATATCTGTACTTAAGTACACACACACACATAGAAGTGCATGTTCCCTGTTGGACTCATCCAGTCTATCAAGCTTCAGAAGAGAGATGTTCTCTCTTAGCATCTCAAATCGCTTTAGATTTCCAATTTCAAGCCATTTATTTCATGTTTTTCTCCCCCCAGCTCCTGAAAAACGCCTTTTTTTTCACAAGTAGACAAATCAAAACGAGGCGCCTACCGTCTGAAGGTGTAGCTTGCCAGTGTGAGACGATCGCACCACTTCAAACAACTCAATTAATTGAAAATATAAGTCAATTATTGCTTAATTAAGCTTCTTCCGCTGTGTGCTTCCTCTGTAGGTTGTCGCTGCCGCTCATTACCAATGAAGCGACGTCTACGGGGGAAACGGTCGACGGACTGACAACTTAACAGAAAGAAATGGAAACAAGGATTTTCATATCTTCGATTTGTTGTTTTCTCCTCGGCTCTTTTTGTTTTTCCCCACGCATTGATTGGTTGATCTGTAAATAAGCTCAGCGATAAAGAAAGTCTAGACTGAGAAAGTCCACATAGTCCTGGTGCTGTGACGGCGCCTCAGAGGGGATTACATGGAAAACAGGACGCAAACATGACTTTTTCACCATTATTTAAGATACTTTCAAACTTGTAACACACTTAGATCTTTATTGAGCTCACTGGTGAAACATCCTCATGTCATCATCAGACACAAAACCTGATGCTTCTTTATCTCCCGCACTTGGTCATTAATTGCAGTTTTAACAGTAATTAAAACGACGGTGGAGAGGTTGAGACTCGTCGGTGGTGAAACATCATCCGGGATCATCATCTCAACAGCTCTGAGCAAATGTGATCATATCCTTTACGGCACAGCGGCTGTAAAATGTTACGACCTCCTCGATAAATTTACATCCGAGTGTGGCTGAGTCCTTTATGGTGAAATTACAGTGAGACTGTGTGTCACTGTATTTTACTCAGAGGCCTGGAGGGTTTAATGGCTCACACTCCTTT